ACTTACTTAATGACCAACTGACAAACTTACTACTGACTGACCAACTGATTGACTTGACCAACGGATTGACTCACTGTCTGACTTACTTAATGACCAACTGACAAACTTACTACTGACTGACCAACTGATTGACTTGACCAACGGATTGACTCACTGTCTGACTTACTTAATGACCAACTGACGAACTTACTACTGACTGACTGACCAACTGATTGACTCACTGTCTGACTTACTTAATGACCAACTGACAAACTTACTACTGACTGACCAACTGATTGACTTACCGCCATTAGCACTATCTCCAGCGCGCCCTCACGGCTGAGGTCCCTGCACCAGACACCCTTGTAGCCAGGGGGCAGTGGCCAACTGGGAGGAGTAGGGAGAGGACGGTACTCCAGCATCGGGGGGCGGCGGGGGTGGCCACGCAGCGGGGGAGGGTCACCACCGGCCGCTCACGTGCACACACACACGCACACACACCTAGAGGCTTGTCACCTCACTCCTGGTAGGTCGTGTGTGGGTGGGTTGGTGGTAGGAGGGTGGTAGGAGGGTGGTTGGTGTGAGGGTGGTGGTTGGACCTCTCTGATGTCTGGATATACTCAGTCAAACCTCAGCTTGTATTTATGACGTCATTTATTGATTTCTCACGTCTGTACTGTTGATGACGTCATGTATTGATTGTCTCACGTTTGTCCTTATGGCGTCATGTACAGATGGCCAAAGCGATGACGAAGCAATATCCACTCTGTTGTTGATTTTGGTATGTCTGTTTTTGTTTGCTTTGGAGTGTGTGTGTTTTTTTTCCACAATGGCGTCAACTCCTTGGAAGCTTTGAAGACGTTTGGTCCTGTTTCAACAGTTGTTTCTCTTCCTTTCAAATAAAAAAAATCTCGCGCACGGTAAAAGGGACCATACGACGTGGCAGAAAGAACGTTCACCTGCAGCTCTCTCCCACTCGCTGCTCACCGTGCGTGCTCGACACGTGCGTGCGTGTGCTCACTCACAGCTCACACACAACACATAACACTGCTCACTCAGACGCCAGGCGTTAGGTACTCCACATCGGCAGCAACAGTCACAGGCTCACAATGTCCCGTGGCGCTGTGTCACACTTTTCTCCTCAAAATGTCCGACTCATCGCAGTCACATCCAAAATTCAAGTCCAACTAGAATTTTATAAATAGGTCACTGTTCTGTCTATAATATTAGGTCATTTTGTTACTACTTCACACACATAAAAGTACCTGTAGCGAAAAGAACACTGTTGTAATCACACTGCGTGTACGCATGCACGCACGCGCGTACGCACGCGCGTACGCACGCACACACACACACACATACACACATTAAAGTACCTGTAGCGAAATGAATACTGTTGGAATGTCAAATGTCACACACACACACACACACACACACACACACACACACACACACACACCCTCCGAGGCAAACTGCGTCAAGACGTCAACTTAAATAGTTTACTTAGGTGACGGTAAAGCATCGCTTTGGTTTACTTTATTAAGTCAGTAAGAGTTTTACGGCACTTGCATCAGAAATAGGTCATGATATAAGCGCTGAAAATCGAAGAGTTCTTACAAGAGACTAACAGGCAAACACAAAGATTTGTTTTAGTAGAGGTTTTTCGGCGCTCGCAACTGCGTAAGGTCATAAGAGCGCCAGAAGATTAGAGGTGTTACAAGCGAGTAACAAACATAAAAAAGAAGGAGGGTAGATAAGGATGATAGGTGTTTGATAGGAAAGAAGGAGTAGACCACACCAGAGCACCCGCCAACCACCCGCAAACACAAAGAGAGGAGAGATAAGGACGATA